TACTGATCCGTAGCTGTAGGGGACTTCATCCCTTACAAAGGGAACTTGCCAATACCAGTCCTTGCACAATGTGCTTACGTGCATTTGAATCTGTGTGTGGTTGAAATGAACCTGTTGTCCGATCTGTTTATAGGTTATGGAGGTTATGATGACTACAATGGGTATAATGATGGCTATGGTTTTGGTTCTGATAGATTTGGAAGAGGTAAGATATCTCTAATAGGAATGGTAACTAACTTTCTACTAACTTCTCAAAAGTAACTTAAATACATCTGAAAGACCTAGAATGGACTCTCTTCTCTGCAGGAATGTCGGACCACAGATACGGCGACGGGGGATCCACCTTCCAGAGCACGACTGGCCACTGCGTCCACATGAGGGGTCTGCCTTACAGAGCGACGGAGAACGACATCTACAATGTGAGTTCTGCACCTGCAGACTTGCTTCACTGAGCACTGTAAATACTGTGATCATAACTAGAATGTTACTGGAGCTGCTGTTAAGGAATACTTGGGGAAGAGAACTTGCTGCAGCACTGAGGTGTTGATTTGGTGCGTTTTAATCTCTAAATATTTTGCATGTAGTTCTTCTCACCTCTGAACCCTGTAAGAGTACACATCGAAATTGGGCCAGATGGCAGAGTGACTGGAGAGGCAGATGTTGAGTTCGCTACTCATGAGGATGCAGTGGCTGCTATGTCCAAAGACAAAGCAAATATGCGTAAGTATGAGCGCTCCTGAAGTCCCCTGCAGTTACAGCCTGTATCAGGCTACTGAAACCCCAGGTTGTTTTTGTGACCTTCCTTGCATTGAGACAAAAACTGCACATGGATTTGGTGTGAAATGCTCTCAAACTTTTCTCCTTCCAGAACACAGATACGTATTGCAGTGAGACAAAAACTGCACATGCATTTGGTGTGAAATACTCTCATGTCAAACTTTTTTCTCCTTCCAGAACACAGATACGTAGAACTCTTCCTGAATTCTACAGCAGGAGGAAGCGGTGGAGCCTATGGCAGTCAGATGATGGGAGCAATGGGTATGTGTAAATAGTCTAACTGTACTCTTAAATGAGCGCTTCATTTAACAAAGCTGGCTGATTTTATTCAGCTCTAGCTTATTCTGTGCCTGGCGTAAAAACTGAAATTCAACATTCTGTCTTAATCACACAGTCAAGGAATCGGAAGGGGTAGTTCAAGATTGGAACACTAGCACACTGCCAGGTATATAAACCTTTTGGGAATACATTTGAGCAATTAATAGGTTGAATAAACCGTTGTGGTGAATGTGGGCTGTGTGGGGGCATGAATGATTCTGGGGGCGTGGGGGTGCGGAAGTGAAGTGGGAGGTGCCTGTTCTTTTCCCCTGCCCCCTGTTTTTAAGGGTGTAACAGAGTGGGTGATGGAGGGTGTATCTGTTCTTGTTGCTTGCCATTCAAGCCTTGTCTTGGTGGTGGCGGCAGCGGGGAAATGATTTGCAGTTGGGGCAAGCTGGCTGAATTACTACAGGAAACTGAAACTCTCAGCCATGTCAATTCCCAATATAAAATTCTAAATGACTCAGAAGGGTCCCTGTAAAGCAGATACCCCTCTTGACACCTAACTCGTCTGTGTTTGTAGAGCTAAGGTGGTGGTTGGCTTGGGGGGCTGCTTCTTGGGTCTGGGGGGGGTGTGTGTATGATGCTACTTAACACTATTTTGATTGTAAACTGCTTAAACATCTAAAGCTGATTATTTGAACTACCAAAGAGCTTTGTGGAAGTATAGAGAAGCAGTTAAACTTGAATAGTGGTAGTTGGCAAGTTCAAGTAGTGGCTTCCTGTATGCTGAGGCTTAGTGCTGATGAGATGCATAAGCAGCCCAGAGCAGCAATAAGTCTGTCAGGATTGTGTACAAAACAATTACTCCAATTAACTTATCAACGTGGGTGCTGTCATTGCTAGTGCTCTTGTGCAAGGTCATTCGAAAAAGCAGAGTTTGAGTCTCGGGTTAATGAGAGAGACCCCATCATGTATAATTAGTGCAATAAAAGCAGAATTAAACTCTCTCCTTATGTTTCAGGATCACAAGCCCTTCTCCCAGTTCTGGGAGTATTTGCTGCCACTTGATTGCAGGAGCCCCTGCAGCTTTTAAGAACTCGGGCACTTGCTGTTTGAGCTTGTTCCCGTGGATATTTAGGCAGCGAGGTGGCTAGGTTAGAAAGGGTTAGCTCCCCTAGTGCAGCGGCTGCGCTTAGGCAGGGTGCAGATCTGTTGTTAATGGACAGACTTTTGACAGACAGGATCTTAACATTTATATCCTTAACTTGAAAGGAAGCCAATCCAGCTATGGTGGTCCAGCTAACCAGCAGTTGAGTGGGGGTTATGGAGGAGGATATGGTGGTCAAAGCAGCATGAGTGGATATGGTAAGAGTATTTCCTTCCTAGTCTTAGGTGGCATCCAGTGCAGCTGGCAACCATGTTGTACCCCGTCCTGTTCGTTGGTGTGGAAGGGTAACGGTATAGACTGGGGACAAGAAGCCTGAAACATCAAGATGCTGTGAACTGTAAGAGTAATTGAGCAATGGAAGGGAAGGGAGGCAGAGCAGGCTTTTGGAGGGTATTGTGGGGAGAAAGGGGTAGGAAATACCTGAAGTGGGTAGGAAGTAATGCCCGGGTTCTGTTTTTTCACATTTATGGTTTAATCTTCTCGGTATGGAAGCTGGAGACTAATCTGGTTTAAGTCAGACCGATATAAGCAGGGCAGACTGGTAGGATGGGTGGGAGGCTGGGCCCTTTTAAGAAAGGTTAATTTAGAAAAAACTTTCCAAAAATGGAGGGAAAAGCCCATTCTTCCAGTGAACATCCCATAAACTTAACTTTGCTCAACTCTGGCAGTAGGGCTGTAAGCTGACCCGTGGGGTGTGTATCTTAATTGTGTAACATTTCTGAGGTGGCCGAGCAAGAGAGAGCCCTTGGGGAATGACCTCTGGGTGTCCGTGAGCTATCCAGTAATCTGCTGTTGGTTTTCCCACCCCTGACCCAGGAAGTCAAGGCGCCATGAACAGCAGTTACTACAGCAGCGGGAACCGTGCGTCCATGGGAGTGAACGGCATGGGCGGCATGTCCAACATGTCCAACATGAGTGGTGGCTGGGGAATGTAACCATTCGCTGACTTTTGGTCAACCTTTTTTTTAAAAAACAAAAAAACAAAAAACTAAGTTTAACAGTTTTGCAATACAAGCTTGTGATTTATGCTTTACTGTAAGTGAAATCAGGATTGTTATTTTAAAACCTTTCAGGTTCAGTATTTTTGAACATACAGAAATGAACATTCATCTAGGATGTAATAACCAAGTTGAGTAAAGACTATAACTGTTAAACAATTTTGAGCGTTTCTCAAGTTAGTTTTGTTGTAGGAGTGTATTTAAGCAGTAAGCGTATTTAGGTTAAAGCTGTTTGAATTACGTTAAATGTTGCTCTTATACCATATTACATCCAACACTGTTTTGAATACATGTTGAAAGAAACATGCTTTTTTGTAAAGAGACAATACAGGAGCTGTGTCTGAAATTCAAAGTGAACATTTGGCATGTTAGTTCTAGTTTCTTTCTTTTAATATCCTGTAAGGCATGTTTAAGCTTTTTTTTTTTTTTTTTTTAAGTTAATGCGGAAACATGTTGAGACGCAATACGGCTACTTTAGGATTTTGGTCTTGGTGTTCGTATAAAATTCTGAGGCCTTGATTTAATCTTTCATTGTATTGTGATTTCCTTTTTAGGTGTATTGCGCTAAGTGAAACTTGTTAAATAAATCTTCCTTTTAAAAACTGGAACTCATTCCTTGAACTTCTACCTGTGCGACGTGTGCTGAGGGGGAGGATCGCAGCGTTCCTGCTGCTGCCGCGGGGCCTGTGCGCCACCATCCACGGTGCTGCTGGAGCCACAAGGTTGGGGTTAGGGAAGGAGCCCTGCGGCTGCAGCCTGCCCTGCCTTGGGGGCTGCTGCTGGGCTGGGAAGGGCAGGGGAGGCTGGGGGAGGATCCTGCACTTACTAGAGTGTAATTAAATGTGGAAAGCTTAATTTGATAGCTGGTCTCTGCTGAGAAAAAGAGGGGCCTGCTCCCTCTAGAGCTCTGAGGTGGGACCCAGCTGCGGTAGCTTTTAAGCACTTCAAGCAGGTGCTGCTTTTACCTCTTTCCCCCCAGTATTTATTTTGGTGCTGGAGCTCCTCTCAACACACAAGTCACTAGCCCTGGCTCTGTGGAGGTTACTACAGTGTAGGCCACAAAAAAATGTTGCATTTTCTCCACCAGTAACCATTTGTAGAATTCCAAGTTCCAGGAACCATCTTCCCTAGCAAAAGACTGCAGAGACAGAAGTGGTAAAATCAGCCCGTCTTTGGCTAAAGCTGTTCCTGGCAGTTAGCTCATGCTGCAAGACACTTTGGTTCTTGCTTTCTCCCTTGAAGAGCCATGACAGGGTTGTTACTGTGCCCCCACACACACACTCTACAGTTCTACTGTTCAGTTACACACACTCTGCATTCACCCTGCAGGGGCTGTAACTGGATGAGCCTTTAAAAAATGAAAACAAGGTTACTGGCAGGTTTTGTGAAAGGCTTTATTGTGCAGCTACCACCTTGTGAACAAGTATAACTTAGTGACTTAAGAAGAGTGAAGGCACATTCATTGACACAAATAGAGATTTTCTGTAGACAATTCATATATTGACATTTCCTCTCTTAACTTAGAGCAAATACAAAACTGTACACCAGCCCCTCTTAACATGTGGCAACACTCAAGGTGAAGTTACAGTAGAACCATGAAGTCAGTGTGCAGAAAAAGTAACAGCAGAGGCCTCACTAGTATAGAAATGTAATGTACAAGTTTTAGTACAAACAACTGGTATAAAATCAGCAAAGTGAGTTTGCATTTTAGTTTCAAATAGAACTTTAATGGAAACTAAACACTTGATCATTCCAGTCGGAGAAACATTAACTTGCATAACTCGTATAAGTTCTTACACTGACATTTCCTACAGTGGAAAAGTTAAACACATCTGCTGCACAGAAGGTACCTGAAATTCAGAATTAAAAAAATAATGGCTACTTTTCCAATGTTAAGGGGTTCTCTCGAGGTTACCAGAGCCTTAGGAGGAGTTGGACGAGCATCGCTGAAGTAGTAGAGTGTGACACGTATCGCAAACACGGACAGGCTTGGGATAGGAGGGCAGTGCAAGTTCGTTACTGGAGCAAGTGTTGCAGAAGATGTCACCACAGTTCCTGCAGTGATGCTGCAACCAGAGGGTCACAGTGAGCGCCGCTGCCTAAAAACCTGGGCTGCCAAGAAGAGTAAAACTCGGGGTGCCAGAAACCACCCCCCATTGCTGCTCCGGGGAGAGCGCAGCCCCCCTCACCTCCACACTACGGAGAGGACCCCCCCCTTCAAGCTCCCTTTAAAAGAAAGTCATTGATTTTAAAGACAGAGAATACCTCCCTACTTCATGCCCATGCCAAGATCTGGAATGGAAGCTGTCAATTTTTCCCATCAAACTACAAGTGCCTTAATAGCTCTGTTTTTGCGTGTGTGTGGTATGGAAAAAGTAAGAAGAAAAAAGAAAGGAGAACTCTACCTTCCTTCTTGAAAGACAGAATTCCTTTTCACATTGCTTGCAGTGTGTTGCTTCATCATCTTTCAGCCAGGTATGACCCTAGGAAATAACAACAGCAAAAATCACATGCATATACACAGGTTATTTACTAGAGAGTTTGGAAGGCATTTACCATGAAATAGGAGTTAACTGTAGGAGGAAATATAAAGGTGAAGGAAAGGCATTTGCTAAGCCAAAATATCCACGAGGTCGGTCATAGAATCATTAAAGCTGGAAGGGACCTCTAGAGATCATCTAGCCCAACCCCCCCTGCACACGCAGGGTCACCTAGAGCACGTGGCACAGGGCTGCGTCCAAGCGGGTTTGGAAGATCTCCAGAGAAGGAGACTCCACAACCTCTCTGGGCAGCCTGTTCCAGTGCTCTGTCACCCTCACTGGTAAGAAATTTTTCCTTAAGTTCCTGTGGAACTTTTGGTGTTTCAGTTTGTGGCCGTTTCCTCTAGTTCTGTCGGTGGCCACCAGTGAAAAGAGGCCAGCACCATCCTCCTCACTGCCTCCCTTGAGGTACTTCTAGACACTGCTCAGGTCCCCTCTCAGCCTTCTCTTCTCCAGCTGAACAGGCCCAGCTCCCTCAGCCTCTCCTCATAGGGCAGGGGTTAGATGTAAAGTACCTTCAGTGCTTTATTTACTTCTTTAATATCTTCCATCTTCAGCTTAGATCTGGGGAAAAAAAAGAAGTTTGTCATATACTAAAAATAAATTAATAGTTTTACAGAAAGCATACAATACAGTTTATCTGAGCAACTCTCTGGAGTTTCTGTTCTGTTAGGAGGACAGAAGTATCCCCTCTACCCCAAATACTGCATTTCCACAGAAGACAAATGCACAAGGGCTACAGGATACCACCTCAATTTTGTATATACTTTGGGAGAAACACAAAACTTTCAGAGAAATGAACTGCAATACTAGGTCAAAGCTGAACTCCCACAACCCAGTGTCCTCTCATGGCCAGTGCCTGCACACAGGTGCCTCGAGAGGAGCACGAACCAGGGAGCACCGTGGGCTGCCCCGATCCTCCCACGGGCTCTGGTGTTTTGCAGCTTAGGGCTTTGTGAGCCAGACACGAGGACTGTGTTCAGCAGCTTCAGTGAATCTCTTGCTCATGGATCAGCCCAGTCTCTTGGAGCCCACAAATGTCAGTGCCACCCTCCCACGGGACCGCGCGTCCCAAGCACCGAGGTGGGTGCTGAGAACCAGCTCCAGCAACTGGCTCTGACCCTGCCCTCTGCTCCTGCCTTACGAGGGAGCAGCGGTCTCACAGGCTGAGATCAAGGCTGCATCACTCACTCCATCACCTCCAACATGTACCCTGCAGCACTGCCTCTCTTAGCCACTCTCAATTATACCACTGATTTTGCCACCTTTGAAAAGTTGTTCTTTTCCAAAGCTTTTCCATTTCAGTAACTTTGTTGAGATCATGCATCAGAACTACACGCAGCATTAGAACTGCAGTCCGGGCTTTCCTTTATTCCCTAGGGACTAACATCCAAGTTCCTCTGTGTTGCTGAACACTGGACTAATATTTCCACAGTGCTTCCTGTCACACCTCCAAGCAGCTCTCAGCTGAGCACGGTTTCACATGCACCCATTCACCTCCCTTTCACACAAGGCAGAAAAAATACGGAATTCCACTGTGAGAACTGGCTTTTTGGGGTACTCCATTTTCTATCCTTTCTACCCATTGAAGAATCTCTTGCCCTTGCTTTCACCCCATGGCTGATGAGTTTCCTATGTACAGTAGTAATTGCTTTGTAGAATCCTCCCATTTACTGACAAAAATGTGTTTCAAAGTGTTTTGTACGTTGCTTTGATAACTGATCCTCCAAGCCCTGTCACTTCCAGGAGTTCGGTTCCCAGGACTTACTGGCTGAGATGAAGCCCCATTTCTTGAAGGGCTTGTTCCTGTTCCTCACAGACCTTCTCTAACTGCTGCTTCTCATCCTGCAGTTTTCTCAGTTCCTATGAAAAACAAGCATAAAATCTCAGACTTGCCCTAAACACCCTTGAGCCTAGCCAGAATGCAGCACTCCTGTGCCCACAATGTAGGTGTGCAGACAAACATTGCTGTGTAATTTGCGCCTTTAAAATTTAAATGGATAAATACATAGCAGCAGATTCTCTTTGGCATAGTAAGAATTCTCATGCTTTTTAAAAATCAATTTTAAACACATCCTTTCCTATTGTGAAGGCCTGAAAGCATATGCTTATTTTAATATATACAGTCAAAAGACCCATGTGCTGTTAAATACGTTTTATTTGTGAGGTTTTTGTGCCCAGCTGTCTCATCCCAGATTCATACGCTTGCCAGTTTATGCTACATCAGCCCCTTTTCTGAAAGTGCTCGGAGGAAGAGGATGGTGCAGAAGAAATCACTCAGCTAAAGAGGAAAGCATTGCTGAGGTTCTTGGCTAGCTTTAATCCTGAACAGCGGCACGTTTGCACTGCACCTACCTTCTTCAGTCCTTCCATTTGTTGCAATTCTGTTTTAAGCAGTGTGGTAGTGTCCTTCTCTTGGTGCAGTTCTTTTTGCAAAGTTTGCCTCTGTTCTTTTTCAGATTTTAACTCTTTCTCCAGAGTGGAGCTGTTTAGAAATATGTGGTTTTAGAAAGCAGGAAAATATCCTATGGGACTGTAAGAATAGCAGGGGTACAAGAAAGAGGAACCTGCCAAAAAAGGGGCTAAGCTTTTTTCTTTTTTTTTTTTTTCCTGAGTACCTATCTGACTAGTTTTAAATTGCTATGGTTAAACTAACCCAATACTCTGAAGTCTGAACAGTGGAAGAAGCCTTTTCTATAGGAATTAGCCACTTACTCCCCGAGGCCAGAAGCATGACCATATTTATGTCCTGAGCTGGTAACAAAGCCCTTGAAAGATCTGTCATTAGTCCACAGCGACCAGATTTTCACTGGTATGCTAGAAAACAGTGGCATGCTTTGAAAACACATTTCAAAATCCTCATCTTAGTGTTCACTTCACACACACTCACTCTGCTTTCCTAGAACTCGCATACTTCCATCAATAATTACTAAGTCTAATGACTCAAATCTATCACTTTTTAGCTCTTAACACAAAAGAGATGCAAAACACAAATAAATAGCAGAAGGGAAGGAAAAAAAATGATTAGCTGAAATACCATTTGCTATCCAGCTGGGACATCTGCTGCCGACAAGTGTCAAGCCTGCCAGCAAGCTCTTGCTTCATCTTGTTGCATCTTTCTTCTGCAGCCTGCCTGGCCTTCTCTGCTTGCTGCAATCTGCAACAGAAAAAGGGGCACAAACATCTGTAGTTGATTCACACATTCCTTACACACACTGTAACTTTTTTCTTTTTTCCCTCCTTAGATCAACTGCACAGATCTTTATAGAATGGCAGAACTTAAAAGAGCTGGGACTTTTCTACTACAGTTTTGAGCTTGAAATTACTACCTCTCTTCCATTTGTTTCATAGCAGACATCATCTCATTTGTTTTGCCTTCAAAGGATGATATTGCTTCCGTTTTCTGTTGCAATGAACACTCTGCATTCTGCAGGAACAAAGTGAACAGGTATTTCCTTTTAGCTTTCTAAAGCACCAACTACTAGTCCTTAATGAATGTCTGTCACTACAAATAAAGTGTTTTGGCTTCTTACAGACTATGCCTAGGTTTAACCAGAACACAGAAGCAGAACACCAGGAACCACAGATTGGCCAGAACAGACACTCCTCAACTCATGCTGCTAGAGCTGCAGTAAGTCTTGATCTAAGAGAACATCTAAAAGGCAAAGGTGCTGTTCTATTTAGAGAGAGTCTGAGGAAATTAACTATCAGATTACATAAGCAGGATAAACAGATCAATTATGTTACTATTATAAGCTGATTGTAACAACTGCATCATTTGTTAGAAGACTAATCACTCAGTGGCCAGAATAAAGCACCCTTAAAACTCCCTTCTCTCTTTTGAGATATCTCCACTTTTTGAGTGATCCCATGATAAACCACACAGCACGTTCAAGGAGACTTCCTTTCTGTCCATGCTCAGGCTCAAACACCAATCATGGATGGCATTGGAAGTAAAACAATTCCTTTTACATTTTAAAAACAGAAACTCCTAATAAAATTGGTGCACAGAGTTCCTTCAGAAGCACATCATGCCCCCTTGGGCAGGCTTAACAGGTGAAGACCACTAGAGATACTCCTTTTGTACCCACCTGAGATTTGTGGAACATCTGCAGGTTAATGGCTTTCACCTCATCTAACTGTTGGCGGAGGGCAACCAAGGTGTCTTGTTTCTCATGAGTATCTTTTTCTAGAAGTTTCATGGCAATTTCCATTTCGGTTTTCATTCCAATCTGTAACTCCAGCTCTTTCTCTAGTTCCTTACAGAGAAATTTCCTAGTTACTGCTATATCATCATGCATCAGGGCTAAGTGGTTCCAGAACCCATAAAACTCCATATAGGAACATATTTTCTAATACCAAGAACACTTATAAAGTAGATAAAATCTGATTCTTTCACTTTCTATACATATTTCCTCACCAGCCTGATTTTTTTTTCTTCTTTTAACTGCTTCCAGACATCACTGTACATTTCATCCAGACCCTGGCGTGACTGCTTATAGGTATCCAGTTCTACCTTTGTGTCTTCCTTTGTTACCTAGGAGGAGAAGAAAAAAAAAAAGAAAAGAGACAAAACTATGTATTTAAAGTACGTCTCTAATTCTTCTGTGAAATACAGCATGCTAATGTGCTATTTCAAACAAAATCCTCTTATTTTTAAAATTAATAACCTGTCAAACAGGAAAAAAAAGAATAAAAAGCAGAATAGATTGAAAGGAGAGAAACCATTATTTTACTTTAAGCCCCTCTCCATTCTGCAGGTACATGTCTAAGTCAGTAGTAGAGTAAAACCTTATGTCTGCACATATTACGCATTAATAAGGAATGATCAACAGCTGCATTCAGTATGACCACATGTTTAGCATTCAAATTCAAAGTGGTTTCAAGAGTACTGAACTACAGTTGATCAAAACCAAAGGCTTATTTTAAGCACCCCATGATCTTTAAGCAGGTGTCCTACCTCTACACTTTTTTCACTCCGTTCTCGAATCAATTCGTTCTGCTGTTTTAACTGCTGCTGCTCTTCCTGCAGTGACCCAATCCGGTCGGTTGCTGCTGCAAGCTGGCACAAAGGGGCTGTATCAGTATTTAATCACTACACAAGCACTTAACATCTGCAAGGGTCCTAAAGTTTGTAGCTCAGCTTTTGTAGCAGACGCACCGCTCACTTCCCTCCCTGGCTTCTTCCTCCTCCCCAGCACCTCTTTCCTTTGCAAACACGTTCACTCTACAGCCAAACTTACTAAATACACTCGTATTTGTTCACTTCAACTTTGCTTCATGCCCTCATCAGTTGTGCTGAATATTTACTGGATAAAGAAATGCATCCTAGTGCAAACAAAGAAGCATCATGCAAATTACTAGAGAAACTAAGTTAATTCATGCCATTCTTTGCAAATTTTCAGTGGATTATCACTTTAACTTTTTCCTCTGTGGGTTAAGGCATCTGTTCAACCCTAAAATGAAGAGTATTTGAGCCATAAGACAGTCCTTGGGCCCAAATGCACAGGTTTGTGGTGTTCATTCAGGAATGAACTAGCAGATGTGGGGTAAGTCAGGGCTAACATCTACTGATGAAGCCTTAACACAGTTTAATGGGAAGATACCCCAAAAGGATTGGAAATTGGACAATGAAGATATACATCAAACTTAAGGAAACCCCATGTAACAAATTAAGGCCCTAAAGAATTATTAACATAATGGAGAAGATTTCCACAGAGTTTGCTATTTTACACAAATCTCCTGTGCTTGATAAACACCACTGAAACACTCTAGCTCTATGGTAAACTCTTAGGAAGTTTTGCCACTGATAGCAATGAGCTGAGGGAAAATAAGCAAGGTTTAGAGAAATAAATATTTAATGGACTAGACTCAAACCTCTTCCTGGAGTTTTGAATTGGTCTTTTCTAAACAGTCTATTTTGTTTTGAAGATCGGCAACCGTGCAACTACAAGGGAAAAAAGCGTATAAAAACGATAGAAAAAATGTGAACATTCAGTATCTATTCCCATCCCCAAATTTTTCTTACTATCTTGTATTAGTTGTCAATGAATTACTTTGGTGAGCTGGGAGAAATCCACAGTAAGGACACGTCTCAAATTATGACAGGCCGATACAATAAGGTGCCAAACAGAAACAAATGTATAAGGATACAAATGAGGAGGATGGTGCTGGCCTCTCTTCAGTGGTGGCCACCGACAGAACTAGAGGAAATGGCCACAAACTGAAGCACCAAAAGTTCCACAGGAACTTAAGGAAAAATTTCTTACCAGTGAGGGTGACAGAGCACTGGAACAGGCTGCCCAGAGAGGTTGTGGA